CCCTGGTTTTTATCTCTATCTCCTAAGATGTGAGTCAGTCTGAGTAGTGATAGAATCCTGCAATGGAAAAACCCAAGGAAAACCAAGATCTTTGGGAAAAATTATAAACAATCTCATATATTAGAGGCCGTGAATGGTTTCTTTGAAATGGGCCAATTTCCTCATCTTAAAGTGGAGGGCAAGGATTTTCTACCTAAGGCTTCCCCTACCTAAGGTTTCCCTCAAACTTTAAAATCCCTTAAATATAAAAAAAAAAGTATGTTTTTTTTAAAGGTCACATTAATATTTAGAGCAAGCTTGTCCATCCTGCGGCCCAGGATGGCTTTGAATGTGCCCCAACACAAATTCATAAACTTTCTTAAAACATTATCAGATTTTTTTTTTTGCAATTTTTTAAAAAGCTCATCGGCTATTGTTTGTGTTAATGTATTCCAAGACAATTCTTCCTCTTCCATTGTAGCCCTTGCCAAAAGATTTAGAACATTACGAGATCTAAAAAGTAGGGATTGCTGGTCCAATCTCAAGTTTTTCATCAGTTCTATAGACCTCTGAGTGCTGTGAACCCAAATGGGGCACTTCCTTAAAGACTTAACATACTATCAAAAAGGGCAAAACTTATTTGTCCACAATCTGCCCTATGATGCTTCCTTTCAACCTCATTTTTACTAATTGCCACTCCCCTCCTGACCCATACAATTCTAAAACAGTGCAGAGACAAACTGTAATGATTAGGGAACTCGAAGTTAAAGACATATGCAGGAATTTTAAGTATACAGATATCAAGGAAGGAGAGACTAAATGGACTAGAGAAATTTTTTATTTTTATTTTTTTGAGACGGAGTCTCACTCTATCGTCAGGCTGGAGTGCAGTGGTATAGTCTTGGCTCACTGCAACCTCCACCTCCAGGGTTCAAGAGATTCCCCTGCCTCAGCCTCCCAAGTAGCTGGAACTACAGACACCCACCACCGTGCCTGGCTAACTTTTTTATTTTTAGTAGAAATGGGGTTTCACCATGTTGGCAAGGCTGGTCTTGAACTCCTAACATAAAATGATTCACCCGCTTCAGCCTCCCAAAGTGCTGAAGAAATATTTTTAAAAATAATTAATAAATATTTTCAAATAGATAAGATGTATGTGGTATAAAACCAAAAAGACTTTAAAACATACAGTTAAAACAAAAGCATTTTCTGAGGGATAAATCAAAGCAAACACTTAGAAGACTTCAGTGAATAGGTTGTATTATATTTCTTAGGCTGGATAGTAGGTGTGCATTAATCAAATCTTATGATATTTTATATATTCTTTTGCATTTAGAGAGTACTCTCATAAGAACAACAAAAACTCTCTTGCAACCCAACCCTCCAGTCCTCTATTCCCCTTTACTGAGGCAGTCACTGTTACCAGTTTCTGTGATCCTTCCAGTGACACCCAGTGACATTTGCATGAACAAATGTGTGGGTATGGGTGTGCATACATACATGCATAAGACAGCAAGGGTTAAAAAAAAAAAAAAAACGTGACGCCCTAACTATGCCTCATTAAGATCAGGTTTAGGTCATGGGACCAAAGCACACCTAAGGAACTGTCTCAATCCTTTTCTCTACAAGTGAACTCTGTCCCGCTGTTGTAACGTTATAACTAAGAGGACTGCACTGGCTGGATACAGCTCAGGGCCTGCCTAGTCAAAACCTTACATATTAGCTGTCATGAGCCAAGCCATATTCCTCCATTCTAGAACACACCAGAGTCAATACCATGCCCCAATATTCCCTAAGACTTAGCTTCAGAAATCCCATAATGTCCATCTTATTTTTTGTTGCTGTTGTTGGTTATTTTTGTTTTCTTTTTTTTTTTGAGGCAGGGTCTCACTCTGTCGTCCAGGCTGGAGTGCAGTGGCACACAGCCTCCCAGAGACTACAGGTGTGTGCTGGGACTACAGGTGCCCACCACCATACCTGGCTAATTTTTCTATTTTTAGTAGAGACAGGGTTTCACCATGTTGGCCAGGCTGGTCTTGAACTCCTGACCTCAAATGATCTAACTGCCTCTTCCTAAAGTGCTGGGATTACAGGCGTGAGCCACCGAGCCTGGCCCTGAAATGTCCATCTTAGATAATTCATTTTCTAATCAAAATGATCAAGATATGTTTCCGCAGTAATGAGGAAACCTCTAACTATGGTTTGACTAGAACACTTACATTCAGCAATAAACAACACAGGCAGACATGGCATACTGAACATTCTGAGATGCAGAAGAATTTCAATTTTGAAAGCTATTTTTCAACAACATCTGCTTTGGGCAAGGATTGGCTAAAATACAGGATAGTGGGTAGAGGATTTATTTATTAATGTAAGAACAAATCTCAAAATACTTTGATAAAATCTTGATGTAAAAGCTTATGCTTGTTTTACTAAGGAAAGTATGCCTTCATCTTCTCATTCATTCAAAATTACTCACTGTCTACCATGTGCCAATACCAGAAGCCACATCTGACTGGTTCCAAAGGACCAGTAAGAAAACACCAGCAGTGAGGAGGATAAAAGTTTTATTTTTTGAGACAGAATCTTGCTCTGTCACACAGGTTGGAGTAGAGTGGCATAATCACAGCTTGTTGCAGCCTCCACCTCCTGGGCTCAATCGATTCTCCCACCTCAGCCTCCCAAGTAGCTCTGACTACTGGTGGGCACCAACCATGCCTAGCTAATTTTTAAAAAAATTTTTTGTACAGCTGAGGTCTTGAACTCTGGGGCTCAAGCGATCCTCCTGCCTCAGCCTCCCCAAGTGTTGGGATTACAGGTGTGAGTCACCGTGCCCAGACTGAAAGTTTGTATATAACATACATGAACAGGTCTCACCAAAACCCCCAAGCTCCAAATATTCAAGTGAAAACTCTTCATAAATATATAATGTACCCTGGAACTTCGCTATCATATTCAGTATCCAAAAGTTTTATTTAGGGTAAAACTTTCCTTCCTGAATTCTGTCAACAACATTTACTTTAAAACTCTCATTAAATAGCAGTCTCACCTATAAAGCATATATTCATATGGGTTAAAATATTCTATTCCCAGAAAATCTATGGCTCACGTGTTTATCTGTTGATAAAGTCCAAAAGTCTCGACTTTTCAGAGTATGGCTTTTAGTTCACTGAGGTTTTGTAACAGATGCTTTTTCATTTCCTATCATAAATAAAGACAATATTTTACTATATGCCTGTCATGTTACTATTACAATCCAGCTAATGGCTACAGCACTTCAGAACAAAACATCAGTTTTATAAAATCAACATTGTTAATGTTTTTGATCATTTAGGAAAGACAGGTTCTGGAGGTATCAGTTTGCTATTACTCATTTCTACACCCAGAGTCTCTCGACTTTTAGGAACATAAACAAAAGAAAGAAGTTCACACACATGCTATTTTTGGCAGACCCTTCATTCTACCTGCATTCAACACTCTTGTCAATTTCATTTCGCATACTATTATCCTTTGAAAGTTTTATGAAGTAGCTAGTCCAACAGATGGGTGGCTAGCCCTGTCAACACATGCCGAAGGAAAAACAACTCTTAGTAGGCAAGACAAGAAAATATTAAGTATGTCCCTTTCCCTTTTAAGGCTAAGAACACTGAGACTACCTGAGAAGAAAGCAAACAATCTTTTAACCTTTATAAAGAAAAGTTACTGGACTGAGATGATCTATAAGTAACAAGGTGATTTTAAAAAGGGAGAGAGTTCAAATGCTAAAATCTACTCCTCAAGATAAAATAGGCACTTGCCCACACATAGCAGAGATGTGGTAAAATAAATTCAAGTTAGTTTAACTGAGAGCTTTTTCATCAAAGACAGATGGGAAACATTCAGATAAGCACACTATCTTGTTTAGAACACAAAGCTCAATAGATCTGTGGGAGGAAAAGGAAAGGCAACCTGAAACACATAGCCTATATGCATGACAAATGACTCATTATGGTCATATTAGTAAAACCAGAAAGAACAAAATGGTAGTGGCATCTGTCTTCTTTGCCTCTTCCCTCTTCATAAGGTATATTAACCAGATAGCATCTGATCCTGTCTTCAACTGATGTATATCTATGTCTTTCAACACACTACCTAAGCACTCTCCAAGGAGAACAGAGACCAATTCTGCTAGAGACAGTATCTGCCAGAACCAAGGAGTCTTATTCGCCTTTGAGTGAAAGCCAGCAGATGGGGAAGAGGTCCCCAAATGCCACTTGTCTGAATCTTTTAAGATATGCTCTGAAACAAGAAAACACTACAGATTACATTTTAGTAGAGATCTAAAAATAGCAAAAGAACATTCCCTATTTTTAGATATCTGACTTCCAAGCCTTAAAACACTAAAAGTAAAAGAAACCATTAAAAATTAACTATATTTTTAAATTAAAAAACTTTGAACTGGAAAATTGTTTTTGAGATAAAATTTCAAAAATCCTGCATTCTGTTGACTCACTCTTTGCTCAAACTTAACCATCTCCAAAATTTAGTCCTAATCCTCTGTGTTATTAAAAGCATTTCCACAGAACCAAAAGATGATACAGAAAGGTTATACCACAAATGAGAAAGAACAGCTAAGAAAAAAAAATTAAAGATGCTTTTATAAAAACATAGAGTGTAGACTAGTGATTAAGGATAACAATGCATAAAATAGCAAAGCAATTTAACTGTCCTTCATTAAAAACAGTGCCACAGACAATAATAAAACACTTGATTAAAGAAGACAAATAGTTTGTTTCTCAAATAGGTCTTCTCAGCTGAATAGTCTTAAGACCAGTAAGCATCTAATTCAAAGCTGTCAGAATAACAACAATTTGCAATGAGAGAAAAATTAATAAAAAACTGAAAATGCAGTACATTTCTTCCTCCCCATTTCCATCCACTCCTAGTAGAAATGTGACCAACTTTTTAAAAAGAAGCCTATGGCAAATAAGGTTTGTAGGAAATTACCTGCAAATTAGGAAATTAGGCTTTATGGGAATTACCTGACTGTACTGCCATCATTAACATCTCAGGCTCTAGTAGAGTCATGACGGATTCTTTCCAGAAACAAAAGTCCACAAATATAATGAAGAATAGTCAAAGTCACAGGAAAAAAGCTGTATTGAGAAGCTACGGAAAGCTTTCACAAATTCAATCTGATGCCTTATGCTCAAACCAGACTGTGAGAACTCACTCCCCTTCTCAGTGCAGTTACCAATTTATCCACCCTTTAGGCAAGTCAAGATGACACAGAATTGAATTACTGCCGACAGGAAACCAAAAAGCTCTCCAGTTAAGACATACTAAGTGTGGTTAGAACAGTGAGTGAGCACCTCCCCTTGCTATTCGTTTCTGGGGGAGGGGAGAGACATATATAAAGAGACTTTCAGAAAACAGATCAACTGCCTTTTTCCTCTCTTTATAAGAAGAGAAGATGAGATTTTGTTCAAAATCCTACTATAAGAGACTGCTGTTAATGCAGTTTAGTGCAACACATTAAACACCATCCAAACAACTCAAGCTCATGAAAGAAGCAGTCCAATTACTGACCCATTGATGAGAGGTGGGGAAGAGGATTAAACACATATAAACAGATATACAAAATGTAAGCCACATAAATTTTCTGAAAAAACATTCCAACGGCTTTTTTATCTGTGGTATTTATAGATAACAGGCTAAGAAAGTTGAATATTTAACTACAGAAACTATTTCTCCACCCCCACTCCAATTAAAATATCTGTTTCAAAAAGTCATCTGAATACATTCTGGAGCTGTAATCTGTCTTTCAGATCTGTCAGTCCCCTAAAAGAGCCTCTTACTTGTGCCTATATTAGATATACAGTCTGTGAATAGACAGCATACTGATGTTAATTGATTTTATTTACTTTCTTTTGTATGTTTGAGACAGGGTCTCACTCTGTCGCCCAGGCTGGTGCAGTGGTGCAAACATGACTTACTGCAACCTCAACCTCCAGGGTCTCAAGCGCTCCTCCTACCTCAGCCTCCCGAGTAGCTGGTCTCAAACTCTGAGGCTCAAACGATCCGCTCACCTTAGCCTCCCAAAGTGCTGGGATTACAGGCATGAGCCACACTATTCCCCACAGTACCTTTAATTAACTGATATTAATAATAATGATATTAAGATTACTTTCAGAATATCTGATTGACTTTTTAAAAAGCTGGAAACTAAGAATCCATGTTTGGTATGTTTATCTAGAATACCTCAATTTTTCTGGTTAACTATCAGCCTGTATGTGAAAACTCGTTGCTGCAAAACAGCCCAGCGAATACCTTAATGCTTACATAGCAAACAAACGATAAACAAACACTAGCAGACCTTAATAGAGAACATACTCTCAGAATGATTGAAGGCAATATTTTATTATTAGAAAAGAGAAGGAATGCAGATTTGGGGTGAAGGAGACACTGCACAAGAGAGAAAAACTTCCTTCCTTTCTCACTCCAAGAACATCATGTTTAAAAGAAAAGCCAGAAAAGCTCTATATAGAACTGTGGGAATGACTCAACAGGCAACGTGTAGCAGCCAGTGTGGGCTAAATGCAGCTTTGGGAAGGCAAAAGCATCTCACTGGCCCCTTCTGGCAACCAAATTCTCAAAATGACTTATGAAAACCGGGTAAATTCCAACTTTGAGACTACAAGACAGTCTGGTCAAAGGTTAGCAACTAAGGGAAAAGCATCCCTAAAAGGTTGAGAAGGTTGAGTCATTCCTTGGTCCTTATGCGGGCTCTATAATTTGCTGTGTGAGTTTTTTCTTCTTCTTCCTATTCTTTTGAGACACGGTCTCACTTTGTCAGCCAGGCTGAGTACAATGGCATGATCTCGGCTCACTGAAGCCTCAACCTCCCAGGCTCAAGCAATCCTCCCACCTCAGCCTCCCAAAGAGCTGGGACTTCAGGCACATGCCACCACACCCTGGCTAACTCTTGTATTTTTAGTAAAGATGGGGTTTCACCATGTTGCCCAGGCTGGTCTCGAACTCCTAAGCTCAAGCCATCTGCCTGCCTCAACTACCCAAAGTGTTGGGATTACAGGCTTGAGCCACCACACCTGACCTTTGTTAAATTTACTTTGTCTTTCTAGTAATGAGGGTTTGCAAATGAAACAAGTTCTCAGAGTTTGGTATTTATAGGAAAATAAATATATATTTCAAGATTCCTGCACAGAAGATGGTAGGAAGGGCAAAGGGCTGTCTCCCACCTGCCAAAACTCTATTTGTTGTAGAAGAGTACGTGTAATGCCACAGTTGTCAATACTCCAGCACCACAGTAGATGCTGAGAGTCATGCAATAGGAGTAACAATAAAACGTAACATCTCAGTTGATTTCACTTTTTCTTAGCAATTCCACACCCATTATCTCACTGGCACTTTGAGGTAAAAAGAGCTAAAAAATAATAATAATTTTAACAAAAATCTTTAAAAATAAAAATAAAAACAAGAAGCAATGTAATTGTTCCCTATTGCTAAGATTTTGCATTTACTCTCAAAACTATTAGCACAGCAACATTCATTGTGAAGACAGACTTTAAAATAAATTTCATAATTCTAAAAGCCTGAACCCCTATGAAAGCTTCAGTTCTACTCTTTTTCTGTGCAAATTAGTAAAACTTCATAGAAAAAGAACTAAAGTAAACTTTTAACAAGGGCTCTACACAAATGAAGATGACTTCAAGTTAACAGCACCAAGGGAATGAGAGATGATTATCTTAATTTCCAATAGAACAAAAGCTTTGCTTTGAATCATAACTAGCTAATTAACACAAATTTGATATCATCTACAGTCTGTATTAATTCACTCTAAAGGGACACCATACTGCAGGATACTAATATAGCTTTTTTTTTGAGACAAAGTTTCACTCTACCATTCAGGCTGGAGTGCAGTGGCGAGATCTCAGCTCACTGCAACCTCCACCTCCTGGGTTCAAATGATTCTCATGCCTTAGCCTCCCAAGTAGCTGGGAATACAGGCGCCCACCACCACACCCAGCTAATTTACATACACACACACACACACACACACACACACACACACACACACACACATTTTTAGTTGAGATGGAATTTTGCCATGTTGGCCCAGGCTGGTCTTGAACTCCTGGCCACAAGTGAGCCACCAGCCTCGCCCTCCCAATGTGTTGGGAATCAAGGCATGAGTTACCACACCCAGCCTAGTTTTAAATTGTTTAACAGTTTTAGCAGTTATTAACAATTTTATTTTTTTTTTGAGACAAGAGTCTCACTCTGTTGCCCAGGCTGGAGTGCAGTGGTGCCATCTCAGTTCACTGCAACCTTCGCCTCCTGGTTTCAAGCCATTCTCCTATCTCAGCACCCCAAGTAGGTGGGATCACAGGCGCTTGCCACCATGCCCAGCTAATTTTTTGTGTTTTCAGTAGAGATGGGGTTACACTGTGTTGGCTATGCTGGTCTCCAACTCCTGACCTCGTGATCCACCCACCTCAGCCTCCCAAAGCACTGGGATTACAGGTGTGAGCCACCGCGCCCAGCCTAGATGATGGCTATATTTTAAACTCACTTTTTAAACATTTTTATTTATTTATTTTGAGACAGGGTCTTGCTCTGTTGCCCAGGCTGCAGTGCAGTGGCACGATCATGCATCTATGTAGTCTTGACCTCCCAGGTTCAAGCAATCCTCCCACCTCAGTCTCCCGTCAGGACCATTTTTAAATTTTTTGTAGAGCAGGGGGTCTCACTATGTTACCCAGGGTGGTCTCAAACTCCTGGCCTCAAGTGATCCTCCTACCTCAGCCTCCCAAGGTGCTAGAATTACAGGTATGAACCACAGCTCCCAGCCTCAGCTCACTTTCCAAAGTACAGTATATGTTCAGGGATACAACAACCATAAATATGAACAGCCAACTCATAACTCATTCATCCTTTATGTCTGAAATACTGAAGTACTCATTTTACATCACTTCCTCCCAAACTCCCTCCACTGGTACTCTTCTAGTTTCCTTTGTGCCAATTTTCCCCAATAACCTCTGTCTGTCCCTCCTCCTGATTTCTTCTTCTCCTCCCATCTAAATACATACTATTACTTCTTTCGTTTGTCAAACCACTACTTATGCTTTGGATCTCTGCTTAAACATCTCTTCCTCAAAGAAGCCTTTCCTGACCAATACCTTCACCTACATTAGAACCCTCACTATTAGTTCTCTGTTATTCTAACATCTTATGTTTTTGTTTTTCAAAAAAAGCAATTACTGGCTGGGCACTGTGGCTCACGCCTGTAATCCCAGCACTCTGGGAGATCGAGGCAGGCGGATCACCTAAGGTCAAGAGTTCAAACCCAGCCTGGCCAACATGGCGAAACTCTGTCTCTTTAAAAATACAAAAATTAGCCAGGCACAGTGGTGGGCACCTATAATTCCAGCTACTCGGGAGGCTGAGGCAAGAGAATCGCCTGAACCCGGGTAGCAGAGGTTGCAGTGAGCCAAGATCACGCCATTGCACTCCAACCTGGGTGACAGAACAAGACTCCATCTCAAAAAAAAAAAAAAAGGCAATTACCAAAGTTTGTAACTACAAATTAGCTTGTCTAGCTCTTTGTCGAGTCTTTTTCTTTCACAGAACTACAGAAGTTTCATGATAATGAGGACTTTATCTGCCTTGTTCATTACTCTCTCTCCAACACCTAGCACTGTGTGCTAAGTGATAAGATCTTAATAATCACAGAATAATTTTTCCAACATTAAAATGGTCAAATTCTTTAAGTCAGTATTTCCGCTTCTAAGGAAAAATCTGAAATGCAAAAAATGTTTTAAAAGATATTTATCTGGTCAGATGCAGTGGCTCATGCTTATAATCCCAGCACTTTGGGAGGCCAACGCAGGTGGATCACGAAGTCAGGAAATCGAGACCGTCCTTGCCAACATAGTGAAATCCCGTTTCTACTAAAAATACGAAAATTAGCCAGGTGCAGTGGCGGGTGCCTGTAGTCCCAGCTACTTGGGAGGCTGAGGCAGAGGTTCACTTGAACCCAGGAGGCAGAGGTTTCAGTGAGCCAAGATAGCGCCACTGCACTCCAGCCTGGCAACAGGAGACTCCATCTAAAAAAAAAAAAGGAGTATTTATCCAAATATTAATGTAAGGGTGAAAAACAGAAAATGATTCCAATTCAAATGTCTCCTTTTTTAAGGAGAAAGTAAATAAATGATGGCAAAGAACAGAATGTTATGTACTTCATTAAATGTTATTTCAGTAACATGAAAAAAAACAGGACACAGAATTGGGTCTGTAGTATTAGCTCGGTTATTTAGAAAACATGCATTTGCAAGAATACTAGAGAGATATAAACCATATGCTAACAGAGATTTTCTCTGGGAAATGGGATCCATTAGAAGTTGGGTTTTTGTTTTTGTTTTGTTTTGATGCTGGAGCAGGAATTCTATCTGGTATCTATTCTCCAGGGGCCTAGCATAACGTGTGATGAATAAGTAAGAATGAGAAACTGATTATCTCTAAGTACTGTAATGAAGTAGGTTATGAAATTCTCTAAGCCATATTATAAACAGAATCATTTAATCAACTGACATGCCTAAGATTGGAGAATTTTCAACTGGGGGACCTAATCTAGAAAATCCTTGAAAACCAGGCTTTCTGAGAAATGTAATTAACAAACCTCTTTCCTTTCCCCAAGAAATATTGTAATTTGGATCAGAAACTGCCCACTCAAAATTTTCACTTCTCCCAGCAATTAATTAGAACCTCTTTTGCAATGCATGAAAGGATACAGTTCGTACCCTTACTGAAAAAAATACATGATCTGCCCTTTATTCCACAGGCTGCACATGTGAAAAACAAATGGGTACTTCTTAAATCTTTCATAAAGGAGGAGAAAACGCACTGTGAAAGAGGAACTACTAAGTCCCTTTTCACTCCCATTCTCCTGCTTACTTTTCTTTACATAGCTCTTCCAATCCTATCCAGCACCTGAGATTACAGACACACATAGAACTCCATCTTCGTATCTCTCACAACAATATCTGAGATCAGCAACAACAGTTAGAAAATAAAATTTTTGTAAAAGGTAACATTTATAATAGCAATAAAATATATGAACCATCTAAAAATAAATCTAACAAAAGACATGTAAGATCATCAGAGAAAAATTTTAAAAACCCATTGAGAGACCTTACAAAAGATTTAAGTGAAAAAAATACATATTTACAGTGTAATATTCTAAAAAGGTCAGTTCTTCCTAAATTAGTTCATAGATATAATGCAATTCCAATCAAAATCCCACAGTGATTTTAAAATTTAGATGGAAATGCAAAGACCAAGAATAGACAAGAATGAAACTCTTGAAAAAGAACAAGGTGGGAAGACTTACTTCTCCCATACAACAGGGCTTATTACAGTTATCATAATTAAAACTGTGAGGGCAGGCATACACAAATAGCCCAATGAAACCAAATAACGAGCTCACAAACATACCCACATACATAAGTCCCTGATATACAAAAGAGGTAGCTCTGTTGATTAGTGGGGAAAGAAGAATATTTTCAATAAATGGGAATCCACTTGGGAAAAATTGTCTTAGCTTATTCCCATATGAAAAATTATTTCCAGAAACGTAAGACACAAAACTCACAAACCATAAAAATATGTTAAATTTAGAAATTCCTTTTGTGTTTTGTTTGTTTTGAGATAGGGTTTTGCTCTGTCTCCCAGGCTACAATACAATGGAGTGATTACAGCTCCTAACCTTGAACTCCTGGGCTCAAGCAATCCTTCTGCCTTAGTCTCCCGAATAGGTGGAACTATAGGCATGTACCACCATGCCCAGCTCATTTTTTTAGGCAATGGGGTCTTGCTATGTTGCCCAGACTGGTCTTGAACTCCTGGCCTCAAGCCTTCCTCCAGCCTTGACCTCCCAAAGCATTGGGATTACAGGCAGGAGATACTATAGCCAGCTAAATTTAGAGATTCTTAATCAAAAGACAGGATAAAGAGAAAGAAAAAGGCAAATCACAAAGTGGGAGAAGATGTCTGCAATACATTTAAGCAACAACAAATTACTATTCCGAATATTTAAAGAACTCTTATTCAAGAAAAAAACAAGTACAATAGAAAGAATAGGCAAAAGTCTTACTTGCCACTTCACAAAAAAGGAAATACAGGCCAGGGCCAGCATCGGCAATACAGCAAGACTGTCTATACAAAATATAAAAAAAAGATCCAGGCATGGTGGCACACTCCTGTAGTCCCAACTACTCAGGAGGCTGAGGCGGGGGGATCATTTTAGCCCAAGAGATCGAGGCTGCAGTGAGCACTGTATTCCAGCCTAGGCAACACAGCAAGACGTTGTCTCAAATAATAATAATTATAATAACTGGTAAAAGAAATCACTTTCCATT